CGAGGCGTAATGAGCACAGAGAGTCGAAATGCTTGACTTGCTTCGCGGAAGCAATAAAGGCTTTTAACGTTTCTTTTGTACGCGTGTACTTAACCTTTGCACCGGAGCGTACACGGCGTCCGCTTTCAGTGTTTCGCGATGCCCTGAACCGTGATTTATTCCCAACCGAAGGAACCTCGAGGGATAACGATCTAATCTGCGCGTAGGAAAAAGGAAAACCCCGCCGCGTAAATCATCGAACCCCGATGGGATCGAGCCAGGGCCCCGATCGACGCCCAATGATAAATTTCTCTGCTGTTTCTTCTTCGCGACTATCGAACGATCGATCGAAATTACACGCTTTTCCGAGACGCGATTCGAACGCCTAGCGTCGAAAATGAATTTCTAATCGGCGCTCGATCGTCCGGCAATCGCGTCTGAAATCTACGCGAAACTTCGATCGCCGTGGTGAACATATTAAAAATCGCTGACCGCAACTTAACACCTTGTTAACGCGTGTAATACATCAGATTTTTCATTTCTGGAAGCATATTCGTGTTCTAGATAAATTTATTAAGTTGTCAATTAAACGCTTAACTCTCTATTTCTTCTAATTTATATTGAACTTGATGTAACAGTCAATAGAAAAAATATGTGCAATCGATCTAGTGTTAAATTCAGTTTCTGCTTTCCTCTGTTCGAATATTAGGAAAGTATTAAAATAAGTAAGACCACGGAAGGACGACGAGGATCTCATTTAATTTGTTATATGATGGTATTCTTATTCGATGTTTTAAAAAAGTTGATTTCTTTTTTAAGTTTTCTTATTTTCAAACTCCGGAAATATTAAATTGCAATTAGACAAAAATATGGTTATATTACGCTAGAAACACCGATAACAATCGGAGCGCGTGGGATTCTTGAGCTCTCAAATACGGCTCGCGCAACTATGGCGCTTGAATTTTCTTATAAACTATTTATCGTATGAAAAAATTTTAACAAGAACAGATGTTTCTTTTAAAAACGTTCGACAGATTCTCAGATGCACCCATATGAGAAACTAATGGGCATTCGATTAATTAATTTGTGCCCGTGAGGTGGAAAAGAAATTTTCTTCGACAGTTTGCGTACGCTGTGATAAATGTCATTAACACGCCTTATGGGAAATATTTAATAACTGTACAGGCAATAAAGTCAATCAGAACGTATAGGATTGAACTCTGGGTCGTGGCAACCGAGCACGTCAAGAGAATCGCGTTAGAAATGATCTCAGGAAAAATCTAGAAATAGAACCAGTTAAAAAAGCAATCGTGCATCGTGCCAAGAGATGTAAGCAGAGATCGAACAACCACCCAAATTTCTTAGTAATACTATTTCGAGATCAATAAAAAAAGATCATCTAATCTGCTACCAATATCTTATAAAGAATTTTAGAATATTTGGGATAATTGCACAAATTTTTCTACTAATAGATGGATGAATTAATGTTTTCTTACCCAGCACACGAATTATGAATGGAGATCGACAAGACCTCTTAACTTTTTGATATTGTGCTCCAAAGATTTATTTGGGATATATTAAAAAATATTCAACGCAGATTTTGTTTGGCGGTACTTGGAAGCATAGGGTTTTTAATGTCAGACGTCGCGCGTTTTTGTTTGTTGTAAAGTGCCCTCCCTCTCTAAAAAGTTTTGATATCTCGATAAATCTTGAAATTCGCACGAAAAATGACGTTTCGAACGCGGATACCCGCCTTAATGGCGAATCGGACGCACGGAATACGCTTCGTTAATTCCGTCGATAAAAAGACGCCGGTTGATTATGTGCAAACGATGATTATGCACGGGATAGGAAAGTAGAATGCGAGCAAAAAGGAACGCGGCTGCGCGGTGTGCGGCGGTTTCTTATCGCTCGTTACAATCCCGCCGTGGGCAGGAAAATCATAATCCTACTTTATACTTCCTTCTTACTGGGAATCATGTCTGACGGTGTTCTTCGCGCCGCATAAGAAGGCCTGCGTGAGTTTCTGCGAGCTTAGAGTCGCTTTCCTTCGTCGTTCGCCACAGGCCTCCTCCGAGACGGATTCGTTTTTTATTTGCCGCTCATTAATCGCCTCGAATTGATGAATTTCACCTGGCGGTGCGTCGAAAGGAGGAAGCAAAAGACAGCGGTGAAAAATGAGTAAAAGTGTGGCCGATCGGTATTGGGTTTCACGACTTTGGTGCCATTAATATCGACTCTCATAACGGTCGAGATCGATATGTTCGACAGGATCTTACTCGGCTGAGAAATGCTCTTTGCTTCTTTCTTTGCAACAACTCGAGCGCATTTGCGTGTTGTTTTCTTGCCATCGAATCGTACGATTCAGGAATCTAACACGAGGATTAAAACAGATAAAAGGTACCGAAATCGTCACAAATGTTATTATCACCGACATCCAATTTTCTTTAAATACTTAGAGTTGTGGAATAGGAATATTAGGACTCTGTACGAATAATTTTAGGCACGAAGAACGGTATAATAAATTTTTCCGAGACTCGACAGCGTACGTCCTCAATGTCAATAGCGTTGGAGGTTGCGTCTGATGGTACGATCTTCCGGGTTCGAGAGCTCCGATACTCCGAGGCTGTCTTAGGGCATGTTTACAGCAAACTCGCAGAATGGTGAAATCCAATACGGCAGACCTTCAGGGTTGCGAAACCCGATGCCAAGTTTCCCGGGTCGTAGGTCCCGATACCGCACACACTTCGTGTTGTTGAACCCGATTTCATACGGTCCCGGTGTTGCATGACCTAAAACAATTGATCCCCGGGAATGTAGGGCACGTTGCTGCAAACCTCAGGCGACATGGAATTCGATACGCCAGATATTTGGTATTATCGAGCCTGTCGATACCCTATACTCATTTGGGTATCAGATACTCCAGAAAGATCTTCACGATTGTTCAGATAGGGTTAGGAGCTTTGAATTAAAACAAAACTAGGACAATCTGCTGCTCGTGTGTGACATATTTCTTAGTTTCCTTTGGAGGATCGCATCCCTAAAGATATCGTGGGAAGCTCTAAAGAATTCAGATCGATGTTTACGATACGAAAGAAATTCCCACAAATTGTATCTTCTTTATCGTGATGCTGCTAGTCGTTACGCGATACGATATCTCGATCGGTAATAGAACAGCCCTGTTTCAACACTTTTCTTTCCAGCTTTCCAATACAGACGTTGGAATCATCGATGGCGAAAGTTGTACCAATTGATGACGAAAGTAACGACAAGCTGAAAGGAGCAATTATCCAGTCATCGTAATCTGTTGGATGGGCTGCAGTAAACATTGCTAAATACTGCAGCAATGTCACGTTCAATCGCTCAACGAGATCGTTAAACCGTGGATGTAAATGGTTGTTCAGGTTTTCTTGATGCTCGATAGCTTCATTAGCTCCTCGAAGACTCAAGAGAACATTAGTTCTTTGTGGACAGAAAGCTCTTTCTTTGGTAGAAGTAAATTTCTAACGAGACCCCACGTCGACACTCTCGTCGGAAGAACCTTCGTTAATTCGTCGTTAGGACTGTTTTCTGATCACTTCGTAAAATGATTCGTCGGAATTGGAATATATTTCAAACAGACACTCGCGGCAGGAAACACGGTCTTCTTTAATTCGACTTGATTTTCTAAAAAAAAAACATAAATGCAAAGGGTTAAAAGACATCTATTAATAAAAGACAATTATTCAAGTAATAAAAGAACCAAAAATTTTAATCGTTCCGTTAATATCGACGAACAAAAAGATTTTTACGACTCAAGAAGATCGTAGTTCCGGGTTTTACGATGCACAAAGTCTATTTTAGACGCGGTTCTAGTTCGTAAAGTCATCAAGAAATTGGAATAGTCGTAAAGATGTCGATACAGGGCAATGTGTAATAAATGTCGTCATTTACAGGCGTACTAAATAAATCAATAACCTCGTTGAAACTACGAAGTACGCGAGATATTAGTTTGGATGTAAATTGTGGGAAGTTGTTTCGCGTGAAAATTGAGCGACTTGGGACGGAGTCTGATTTACTACGCGAGCCACCAAGTTTAATGCACGCTTTAATCGTGTTTCTCGCGGTGCTTGCTTTTAAAGGCATAACTTAATCTTCTGTCTCTCAGCGTGAAAGAAGACTTTCGAAGATCACCCACCGATAACGGTACTTACTCAAAACGTGATTTAAGGCCCATCAATTGAACTTTATTTAGACTTCCGGGCGCTTTCGAATATTCTTGTGTGTACTTAATAACCGTGAGCCAGTTTCTTCATTTTGCACGCTTTCGAATTGATAAAATGATAGTAATTTGGCACTCGATGTCCCCTGGAATGGCACATTCGTCTAATGTGTACGAAACTCGAGTTTTAAATATAATTACTGCGCCCAAATTGTTGCATTTTATCATTAAAATTTAATTTACGGACGCTGCAACGTGCACAGAAAAATTTTACAATTCCTTCGGGGCCTTCGATGCAAACAACTTTTAAGCGAAGGATCAGCGTTTTTGTTCGATGTTCGTTTTTTGTCGAAAACTCTTCGCAAAAGAGACGCGACGTTAAACGACCTCGATCTTTTAATAGCCTACCATTGTGCAAAGATTTGATCGAAACGCTAATTATGCATTAAGCCAACGGGAACCGTTGCTGCATCAGAGAAGCTTTGTTATTTATTACGTTGTTACTATTCATCGGTGTACAAAATGACGCACTAGTTTCATGCAAATGAAGTCTGTGGTAACCAGTGCGAAAAGTTGTATTCACTGTAAATTTAGTACTGTTAGGTAACGCTACAGAATTCCCATTGCCTCTGCGTTAAAGTAATCGCGAACACTTTCTGTATTTTTTATAAAATTCTCAGATTCGGTATCCGATCACTGAAATTAAAAATATATTATTATTCGATACACATTGCCCTGTATTTCTGGTCTTGTCACGTCTGTTGAATCGAGCACCACGATACTAATTCACTAAAATAATTCGTTTGGTTTATGATTTCAGGTACTCCAACGAGACATAGAGGCGCACGGTCGTATCGTCAGCTCGGTTGTAAAATTGGGCGACAAAGTTTGCACGCAACAGCAGGAACAGCAACAACAGGAGCAACAACAGGAACAGGAGAAGCAACAAGAACAACGGGAACCGCCACAAGCTTTGCGAATCGCAAGATCCCTGGAACGTCGGTGGCATCTGCTGTTTCTACGTGCGTTGGAATGGCAATGCCACATCGAGACACTCGTATCTCGCATAAGCAGCAAGGTGAGTCCGAATATCCGCCTCTTTTCTTTGCAATTATGATTCGCGTTCTGCATCTGCGCACCCTCCTCCATCGGCAGCTGCAAAAGCCTCTGGAACCTCTCAAAGGGACCCCTGAACAGAATTAATATTTAAAACACAACTATACCAGGTACTCCCCCCACTCGTATTCGTACATCATAATAGTGTCTTACTATAAACGGAAAAAAACTTTCTTTATTTTTGTAGTTTCATTTCTCATGAATTTCTTTCCACTTCTTTTTACCAAATGTTGTTTATTAACACTGTGTTACTTCCATTTACGAAGTAAGTTTCTTTCCACTTATAGTGAATCATCATTACAGTGTACGAACACGAGTGGGAGTAACCGTGATTATTCAGGAAAGGCAACTTCCTAGTTGATAAAATAAAATCTCGCGTTGCAATAAAACCGAGAGGAGTTGTATGTTTTTTCTGAAGAAATATAATGAAAAATTTAATGTTCCATAGGAGGCTGTTTCTCGTCATAATTTTTTCGGTTGATGCATTCGTTCGCTTTCACTCCGTGATTTTGTTCTGGTTTATTCGAGTAGCAACATTTGTCGAAGCATTGTACACCCGTCCACTTAACAAGAGATATTAAATATTGCACTTTCTTTCGGAACGATTATTCACGGCTGTTTACTCGGAGAGTCGAACTGATTTTTCTGAGTGGTAAAAGTAAATATTCGGTACGAATAAATTTTCTCGCGTTCACGGTTACGGTGTTCGTAATAGGAAAGATTCGAGCGAAATAAATCGCTGGAGGAGCAAGCTTGAAATTAGAAACTCTAAGAAACGCTCGACGGTTAGTTTACATTAATTGTAATAGCATCCATTTATTTCCATGTTTCGTACGAACCGCTGGGCTTTTGCTCGTGCTTTGTCCATAATGGCTTGATAGCCGTGGGTGTATGCATAATACTGGTCATTAGGTGTATCAAAACGTTTCTCCTTCCCGCAAATCCGCCTTTCGCGCTGTTATTCTCGCTGTCTTTTGTACTCGCGTGCACGCGATTAAACGTTTTACACAGACCGGTGTCCTCGTTAAATGTTTTACTTTCATTTCGTACAATTTATCCCCATTAGATATTTGAAAAAGACACAGAGGAACCCAAGAAATAATAAATTTGTATATCTGTGATACAATCAACAGATTTAACTTGTTAGAGAGTTTCTCGAGATAAAACCAATGGATTAAAAGCAGTACATTTGAGTTTGAATATTTTTTGAAGGACCTTCGCTAAGATTACCATAACTTCTAAAATATTGAATATTTTTCAATGAAAAAAATTGAGGATATTCTTCAAACATAGATCTAAATATATGTATTGAAGCTTGATACAAAAATATTTCATCGTTTCTCCTCAAAAAAATTCCGAAAAATCGCTCCGATAAATAGCGTTTCAGAATGTGTCCTCGAGCGGAGGTCGTTGATTTAGAGAGATCGCGAGGCCAAACGCGTTCGTCTTGGCGTGAAAGTTCATTCGTGTGACCGTAAAAATTTATTAATTTAACGAGCACGGCACGCGAATCGCCTGTATTTTATTTCCCCGTCGCGTTTTCCATTCGAATGTACGCACCTGGTCGCGGCTGAGTTCGACGCCACGGTCCGTGCGTGCCGATTCTCATCGCACAGGCGTTCCTTTTATCGTGGCGCATTCGTATGACACGTCGATGATCGTCGATAGCTGGTTTCACCGATTAGATACCGGGAAACGCGTACCGATTCTCGTCAAACGCGTGACACGCATTCAGGTGGACAACTATGCGGAGGATCGCGTGTTGCGGCGAGTCTGTTAATTTTAGTGCCATCAGTGAGATTTCATCGGTGCGGACGCCAAACGTACACAACACACACCAACGTCCAACGAAAAGCGATATTTCCTCGTCCTCGTAACTTCGGTCCACGTAAGTTTACGCTTTTACGAACGACTCGAGACGGAAAGAATTCCCGTGATTAATCGTCTCAACCGATTCACTGTTCCTTGTTCATAAATCTTTATTTTATTATACGGAAATACGAGGATTGAATGAAAACCGATTGGCCGCGTCTCCATAAATTTCATTCCCCGTAAGTTCCCGTACTTTTGCTAACGATCCGCGTTCTACAATTAGTCGTCTCGACCGGTTTAATAATCCCGTTCATAAATCTCGATTTTATTAATCTACATACGCGAAGAAGCGAAGACTCCATCGTAGCCAGTTTCGTTCGGGAAAGTTTATAGTATTTGCCATGGAAAACGAGAGTATCTCGAACTCGTGAGAGAATTTTACGGTCAGTCGTCTCGATGCTGTTCGTAGATTTTCATTTTCAAACGATCGAGCGATCAGTCTCTACTTCGACTACATTTTGTCGAGAAATTCTCTGGACAGTATTTTAAAAATTGTGTCCGGGACAGAGGTTTTATTTTACAGAATCGTTTTTCATTTTAATGATCGCTCGTACCGGGCGGTTTACTTCGACAAATTGAACCCGTTGTAGCGATTTTTGAAAATATTGTCTCGATCTGGGTCACGAGAAAGGATTATCGAACAAACTGTATCGGTAAGAATCAGCATCGAATGTCGGCGAGACCGTATCGCGCGGGTAGCAAGCACGAGAACGTTGTTCCTCGTTTTTATCGTCTGAGCGTCGAGGCTGCTCCGTTCCGGCGAGATGCACTGAATTTATAATCGAAGAAAAAGTGTCAGCTTAGCGAGGGAAATCGTTAATTATTAGGACGATTTGCATCCGGGCAACCGGAGGCCTGTACACAGAGACGATATCGGCCACGAGCAAACTGTCCACGAATGCTGTCCTTTTTCTCGATTCTCCCGGGCTTCGAGCAACGGCCATTCATATCGGTTGACCGTGTTTGCACGGTAAAACGATCCCGCGCATAAACTTCGATTAAACGTGAGTAATAATCAGCCGGGCGCGTACAAAGCTCTCCGCGCGGTTTCACTTCGCGGAGCGTGCTAGATGTACACCGGAGGAGTCGCCTAAAACTTTCACGCGATACGTTCGGCGTGTCCTGAATTTGGACTTTTCACAGCTTCCTCGACCCAGCTCGAACCCGTTCGACCGTGAAACTTTTTAAAATGCCCGCCAGTGATCTTTCGTTGCCCCAAAAAACACCGGAGAGGAGGTCTCCGTCGAAACCTTTCGTCCCGCCTGTTACGCGTTGGAAAACTGTTCCCGATCCGCCCAATGACTTTCTTTCCTAATCGTGCCGCGATCTCGTAATTTTTCAAATGTGTCCCGACTTTCCTTGTCGAAAATCGAGCGACAAAAGTGCCCGAAAACAGACATTTATCGCGTCGGGGATAGAAACTATACGCACGATGGAAACCTGTTTCCGATACCGGCGACCGTTTCGCTAATTGATACAGGTTTAGTCGAGCAATTAGGCGACCAACGCGTTGGCGGCACCAGATCGAGGAGCGATGAAGTTACTACGCGATCTGTTAATTACTTTTTAATCGAGCGATTTGTACGCGTCCTAGTCGAGCGTTATTTTTGTTTTTCTGTATCACGGGGTCATCGTTTATTCTGTGGCTGCCGGTGATCGCGTAGAAAATTACCTCATTTCGTACATACGATGCTCGAACGGCTCGTGATGCTTATGGTATACATGAAAGTGGAATATTTAGCGCGAGTTTCACTGCAGAAAACGAGATGGTTCGAAGATATGTAACTGCACGCGGACAGAGTTTACGAAAAAAACACGAAATTCTGTGGGAACGATGGAAAATTGTTCGCGTTGATGGTCCAGAGGTTCGGCATACTTTGTAAACTTTAATTCTGGATATGTTTCATCGACACTTTAATAAGTAGGTCATTTCATTTTGGTACCACATTCGTTTAACGTGATTTCCCATCAGGGCTCTGAAATAGTATTCGAGTGTACTATTCTATTTTAATCTTCGTTTCAGCGAAGGTAGAACCACGATCATGTTTGAAATAGGCACATGCAAATAGTGCGTTAAATATACTTCAAAGTTAAAGGAGAGTTTACCCAAATTGTTAGTCTACGTTCATTTTTAGTATATTTATGAATAAAACATTGGTCTACTTTTTAAGTTTCCATTCACTATGTGAAATAGCTCTTTCAGTACTTTTACTCCGAGTTCTCGATTTTATTAACTTCTTAAGAAACATCGTCGACTACCAATTAACTCTGATAAGAGCATAACAAAAATATTTTCCTTTAGATTGTAAAAAATAGAAAACTGATGTTCACACAAAAGATTATGCTCCTCCCAATAAAAATCTTTATCGATATCCGCGACATACGATCTACTTAAGAATGATATCACAATTGCATCATGAAAGTTTTTCATTAATTTTTCTTTGCAAAGAATAACTTACTTTTTAAAAGTGGTTTTTTCTCGACTTTCCACGCACGAAACCCTCGTAAATCTTATTTTCCCCCGAGCAGATCGAGGATACGCGTATTATTAAGAGCGAGAGATGATCAACGCTATAACGGGGAACTCATTTCCGAGACGCGCTTTTTTCCCCGTCTTTTTTTCTTCGCGCGTTGCATTAATAATTCGCGAAAGTGTAACTTTGTTTCGTGAAAGTTACCGCCACGTGTTTACGACAAACAGACCATATCTCGTAATACGGGACTCGGTTTCGTTTTCGTTGTATTTGTTTTATGCGCTTTGACTATTTGTCGCGCGACCAGTACTGATATACCGAACCAACTGGATCAGTAGCAATAATTCAAGCCTCTGGCGATTCGAATAAACGTGTTTTCGTGTTTGTGAGTGATTTGCGAAGAAATTTAGAGGCCCTCGCGCTCTATCGTAAATCTGCTCGAACAGTAAATGTTACAATTTACCCCACCTTTCGAACGTTATTCGAAATTTATTTAAAAGAACGATAACTTTATAGAAAGTACGAACGATTTAATGCGTTGGGAAATTCACCGGCACCATGTCCTAAATAATTATCGATTTACGATGCACGGTATCAATGATTCGAACTGTTAATT